CAGGAGGACGATGAGGGAGTGGGGGGCAGAGCCCAGCAGCCTGGCTTGGACCAGCCAACCAAATGGTGACTCTACTGCTGAGATCATGTTTGTTTGTTACACAGCAGTATCTAGCTGATACATGGTCCCAGCAACAGAAAAGGAAGCCCAGAGGTAGCTAAATGACACTTCCAAGGCTACACAGCCCCTCCTACTGGGAGCTGTGTAAGAAATGGCCCCCCAGACCCTCCATCCTGGTAGCTAAGGGCTGAAAGGGTGACCCAGTCCTCCTGTTGTCCACCTCCTCGATGTCTAGGTGGGACCCTACAATATCTTGATTTAATGTTGATAGTTGTGGTCAGCTGAAAAATCCACCCCCCTCCCCACAAAAACATATCAGGTCCAATTTCCTGGAACCCATGAAGGTGACCTTATTTGGAAGTAGAGTCTCTGCAGATGTAATGGAATTAAAGGTCTCAAGGTGAGATCTTTCTGGACTAGCATAGGCCCTAAATCCAATGGGAAGTGTCCATATATAAAAGGGAGACAGAGGGAGGTTACACTGAGAAAATGAAGATGGAGGCAGAGATGGGAGTGATGTGGCCATGAGCCAAGGAACACCTGGGGCCACCGGAAGCTGGAAGAGGCAGTGAGGGCTCAGGCCCTAGGTCCCCCAGAGGGAGCTCAGCCTGCCGACCCCTTGATTTCAGCCCAGGGATATAGATCTCTGACTTTGGGCCTCCAGGACTGGGAGAGCATAAACTTGTGTGTTTTAAGCCACCCAGTTTGTGGAACTTTGTTACCTCAGGGAACAAATACAGCAGTGTATTCAACACTGCGAAGTGCACTGTGCCAGTCAGATGGTGTCTGAGGCCGGGCCGGCCTGTGGTCTGCAGCATGGACCCCTTCTGAGCCCCCTGAGGGAGCCCCTGCCTGCCCCATGCCAGGGTCTCTATGCATCCAGCCCAATCTCTGCCAAGGCCACAGCCCCTCCCTCTTGCACCTCGGCCGTGCTCGAGGTGAAGAGCCGAAGCTGTGTCCTCAGGCCGCTGAGGGGTATCCCTGGGGTGGCTGGCCGTGGTTTCAGGGGCAGAGACAGCTCAGGGGCCAGGCAGGGATTACCGGGTGCTGTCCCTGTCCCTGCCTTGCCCTCCCAGCTGGCCCAGCTGGCTCCCCGTGCCTGGCTCAGGGTTGAGGGGCCAGCAGCAGGGAGGTCAGTACCTTGGACAGCACCCGGCAGCCCACTGTGAGCCGAGGAGGGCGGTGTGTGTGTGCTTGTGTATTTATTTGCAGGAGGGCATGTGCGTGCGTGTGCACATGTGTGAGTGACTGGGGGGTGCAGGGTCCCCAGCCGGCTGGACCACTCCCCTTTCGTCTGCCCTGCGGGTGGGTTTGTCAACACCTGGCTGGGCAGCCAACGCCATGGACAAGTGGCTCTGCCCAGCACAGGCCTGTGAACTGACCTCTGAATCCTCCTGGGACAGAGGAGTGACAGCGACCCCTGTCCTGTGAAAGGACCCAAGAGAAGGCCTCTGGGCCTCCCTGGGAAGGGCCCCAAGCTGGCTTTCTCAGGTCGTTTGACAGGCCCTGGCCTCTAGGCCTGTAAGCCCCTTGCCTTGAAGCTGGGAGAGGGGTGCTTTGCAGATCACCTGACCCCCCACCCGGACCTCACCCCGGGAGTCTGATTACAAGGAGTGTCACCCCCAGGACTCTTGTCCCAGGCCCACCGCAGTTGCCTAATTGTGAATGTAATTAGCTGCTTGCACCCTCAAAATTGGCAAGTGGCTAATTGTGCCTGTGATTATCAACTGCACCCGTAATTAACCATGTGAGTGATCTTTTGTTATGCAAGTCATTGTGCATGTGAAATGTGCCCCTGAAAAGGAGTGGGGGGCCAGGGCTGGGGGAGGGGAGAGGGTGCGGGGATGTGAGCGGGCGGGGGTGGGGAAAAGGGGGAAGGGAGTGGGTGGGGGCTGGAGAGAGGGTGGGAGGGAGGGCTTGAAGAGGGGAGAGGGTGGGAAGGGGGGCCTGGGATGGGGGAGGGGAGAGGTAGGAGGGAGGCCCAGGGCTTGGGGAGGGGACAGAATGGTGGGGTGAAGGGCTGGGGGAGGGGAGAGGGTAGGAGGGAGGCCCAGGGCTGAGGGGGAAGGGAGGGGTGAGGGTGGGAGGGAGGGCCCAGGTCTGGGGGTGGGAAGGGGGTACCACCGTGTGCCCAGCCCTTTAGCCTGCCCTGGGGGGAGGCGAGACAGGGCCCCCAGCGCCACCCTTGTTTTTACAGGGGAGGCAGTGGAGGGCCTCGAAGAGCCTCTGCCCTCTGAGGAGTGCAGGCTGAGCTGGGCCTGCCTTCAGGCGTCCTGGAGCTGGGGCAGCCGAGGCTGTGTCCCTGAGAAGCCCCCAGTGACTCTGAGGCCAGAGCTCTGTGGGGTGAGGGAGATGCCTGGGCTGTTCTGCTGGTTCTGTGTCCTGGGAGGCCCCCAGGGCTACAGGGAGGCCTGAGTTCAAACCCTGCTCATGCTGGGGGACCGCCCCTCTCTGAACCTCAGTTTCCTCATTTGTAAAGTAGGGGTGACCATAGCCTTTCCATGGCTGATTCTGTGGGACCCAGAGTAAGTCCCTGGGACAGGTGGCACTGTTTGTGCCTGTCTTCTCCATCTGAGGGGGCTTCCTGGGCACCCCAGATGGGCATGGAGTGCCCGTGAGCCTCTGTGTGGGAGCCTCGGCCACAGGGCATTGTGCAGGGAAACCTCCGGAGCTCATGTCCCCTCCCCTAGAGAGGACTAGGCCTGAACATGGCCCCCAGAGCTGCTCTTTGGGGACCAGTGGTGACGGCCTCAGCTGGGAGGGCCTGGGGAATGCTGGACCGTGTGCCCACCCCACCCCACAGAGAGCCCAGCTCACTGCCAAGGTAAGCACCACTGAGGGGTGCAGCACTGCTGCGTGGCCTGTGCTGACTCTGAGGGGCCACTGAGATGGCGTGCCACCATCCCTGGTGCCTAGGCCTCCCACAGGGTGCCTCCCGCTGCAGTGGTGACCAGCCTTCTGCCTGGCCATCCCAGAAGGCCCGGCCCAGGGACTTGAGCCTCCTCATGCACCCTGCCTGGAATAAGGCAGTGACAGGAAACGGGGAAGCGGAAGTGTGCAGAGGACAGGAGGGACAGAGGGCAGAGGGCAGGAGAGGCACCTTCAGGTGCCCAGGTGGTCTCACCGCTGCAGGAGAGCCTCCACCTGAGGCTGGGGAGTGCGGTGGGGAGGGAGATTGCAGGCAGCACCTGGCGTCCGTGGATGGGCTCCGGGGCTTGCTGGTTCTATCTGCTGACGTGGCTGTGGCTGCGGAGGGTTTGCATCCAAACATGCCAGTGGCTGGAGGCGTCTCAGTGCATGTACTGCATGGGTGCTGCATGTATGTGCATGAGTGTGTGTGTGCACATGGGCATTGCATGCATGTGAATGTACAGCAGGTGTGCAGGTGTGTCCGTGTGTGCAAGCATACACGCATGCACATGCGTTCTGTGTGCCTACCCTTCAGCCCATGTGACTGTGCCCCTGCCACAGGGGGAGGAATCTACAGGGCTGAGGGGCCATGTGCTCACCCCTCCAGACACCTCTGGGCACCGTGACCCTGGAACTCCTCACAGAGTGCTTTGATTCCCCTCTCTGTCCTGCTCAGGCCTCTTCTGCAGGAGCATTTCCATGAGGTGGACGTATGCCGAGGCCCAAGGGGTACTGTTTGTGGGGGGCTCAGATGAAGCTGGGGCATGCTGGTTGGGGCATCCTTATGCCTATACGCAGCCCCCTGGGGCATCGGACAAAGCCGGAGGTGGGAAGAGAGGGAGGGAGGTGGGAAGAGCCCTGTGCCCAGGCCAGCTCCTTCCTTGCTGCCACTTATAGCACCAAACTCCCAGGAGTCTGAGAATTCCAAATCGATCTGGGCATTCCGTGGAGTCTGGGAGGTGTAGCTGCAGAGGTAGGAGGGGAACGTGACTTTGCTTGTTGGCTTCACGTATACCTTCTAAACCCTTTAAAACACGGAGGCAGGTGGCATGTGGGCCCCACAGGTGTGAGGAGTGGCCTGGCTTCCTTCGTTCTGTTTTTCCGAAGCCTAGAACAGCGCCTCGAGCTGCGCAGGTGCTCAGGGAGTGTTGGCTGCACAGATGGATCCCACGGTGGCCACCACCTCCCCCGTGTGCACGCACCTGTGTCCCGAGCGCCGCCCGCCTCTCAAATGCGTGGAAGAAAAGCTAGGGCGAGACTGACTATGAAAAAGGGGGACTTTATTTAGTCTCTGGAGCAGCACTCCCCACCCGCCCGTGCACAACCGCTCCGCAAGGCTCTACTCAGTTCGGGACCAAGACTGTCTGGCACTAGAAACAGAAACATCAATTCTCTCCCCTTTTTTTTTTTCTTTCTTTTTTTTTTTTTTT